CCCGCAGCCGGACAGATGTTTCATAAGAAAGAAGAAACAAACCACACCAGAGCACCCGCCAACCACCCACTGCAGCGGTTAGTTCGTTACCGTCGTTGCACGCAGACTGTCTACCACTACCACAGCTATGATGTTGTATCCCTCTTATTCCTGGTCAGTCGTGACAGGCACAGGGGGTCGAAGCAGCACGCCTCCGTTTTAGCAGAGGTTTTACGGCGCTCGCAACAGCATAAGGTTATATGAGCATCAGAAGATTAGAGGTGTTACAAGAGAGTAACAATATTTTACAAACACAAAAAAGAAGGAAGGGAGATAAGGACGATAGATGTTTGATAGGAAGGAAGCAGCACGCCTCCTAAATAATCTGAATAAATGATTGTGATCTCGACCAATGATTATAAATAATATACGTATTTACTGTCTCTGATCTCGACGAGCAAGGCGTTGAATTGGTCGCTTATTTTAAGGACAAGCGGGCTAACCCAGATTTTTGGGTTTTCCAGAAACTTTGACCAACTCCAAAAGTGGATATTGCCCTACCCATAGAAGAAGTTTGGTTTCATTGGAGTGTGTATGAGTTTGGTTATAGAGAAAACTCTCCTTGTCTTTTAAAAAGCTGAACAACGGGCAAACATTTTACCTTCGATTTTCTCAAAACAGCATTTTTCGGGATAGCCCCCTTGTGCTTAAAAGAGACCAATTATAAATGACCCCTCTCCTCCTCGTCCTTATCGGGTCAAGTAGTTCGTAAAAATCCCTGTGGGGCGTGCCACCAGCTCAGTCACAGTTCGTGATATATTGTCTTGTCACGGCGGCAGAAGGTAATCGGAGATGTCTCCGGCGAGCACCCAGGAACTATTCGGAAACGCACTCCTGCACATTAGATGCACTGCTTGGGGGGGGGGGGTGTCAAACTGCGTATTGTTTGCTGCAGATCACACGTATAGCTCCTAAACTGTTGCAAATCAAATATTTTCTAGAAAATTCCAAACCTAACTGCAAAGTATCAAATTGTGGGTTAAAACAAGTATTCTAAAATGCTAAAAATGCAACCCATGGGGTACAAAACGACCCTAGGGCATACGGATATGGTTAATTAGGTTTTTTTAATTCATTTATTTATTTGCATATTTAATTTAATTGTTTA